GTGAATTTAAAATATGCGATTTGATATGAAAAGCAGATGAGGATTATGGAAGAGATGCATGGAAATACTATAACCACACTTTCTACAATTTGTAATGGAAGATGGCTTTTTTTATTTTTATGTTTGTTTGTCTTTGTTCAAAAATAAAAATTGTTTTTTTTTTAAAGAAAGAAAACCACTTCTTGGTTTTCTAAAATAGATTCTTGCATATAAATATAAGTGTTTATGTAAAAATGCATATATGAATTATTGATTATGCTTTAGGAATAATGCAAATAGAATGTAAGTGCAAAAAACTATTTTGTGTATATGTATTAATCGTGATATTATTCCCTTCAGACCACCAGGACTATATTTTGGAACCACTTTCCCTGCCAGAAAATCCAGGTGGCATTTCTGCTGAAGAAGAATCTTCATCTGTGCCTTGTCTATTCTGTGAAGAATATTATCTAATATCAGAACAAAATCAAATTCTGAAACACATGATCATAAAACACAAACTTGTCATATCAGATGTCAAGCTGATTGCAGATTTTAGAAGGTATGTTTCCTTGTACAAATGTAGGCCTCAGACCTCATTTTTGAATTTTAAACATAAAATTTCCAAACTTAAAACTGAAGAGAAACAGATCTTTAAAATCATTCTATGAATTAGCACCAACTCTACATAGTGGAACAAAACACATTTGGTTCTGATTTCTTTCTGACTTTCTGCTATTTTATATTAAATTTTGTCCTGTTAAAAGATGGATATTCCAACATAAGCCTCAAACAATCCAGGCCTAGACCGGGTGGGGATCAAAGCAAACACACAGGAAACCGAGCAGTTCAGGCTTTACTCCATAACAATAAGCCAGAGTCTTGGGACATGATGACTATCACACACAGTTACATGCAAAGTCAGCACTGGGAGCTCTTGCCTCCCAGCGTGCTTTATTGTCCAGGGCCACACCCTTCAGCCGGCCAGACCCGCCTGCTGGCCACCCAGCATCCAGCCAGTTGAAGCAACCATCTGGCTGCAGCGGTGTGTCTCAGCCAGAGATGAGCCTCAGGGCCCCTTGAATCCAGACCAGAGACATGCAGGAGCGAGCAGCTGTCGAGCAGATGCATGGCACTGTCACTGGAAGTCCCATCGCCCCTTGCTCTTCACGCCAGGTGCTTGCCTGTTGCCCGGTACCGCTCATGTGGAACCGGTGAGGCGGCCAGCCTACTGATGGGAGGATGGATGGCACCGCCCCAGCATGTCCCGCTGCTGCTTCTGCAGCCTCACTCATTGCTGCGATCACTGTCTTCAATGTGTGCTGCTCTGTGCCCTTCCCACCACTCCTAGGTATGGTGAGCCCCGGATCGGGCTCGACAGTATTTTGGAGATGATTTTAAACACAAATGGGAATAATTTAATAAGCAAACCTAAAAAATAACCTTAGTAAATAAATTGTCAGTTGTCTGCCTGTTGTGACTCAGCAGTTCTGCTGTGAGTTTTTTCGGGATACAAGATTCAGTATGCAGCTGGGGCTGTGGGAGGCAGGTTTGGAGATAAAAGGACAGATGCTGCCATGCCCTAGTTGCAGGAGTCAACATATGTTCCTTCGTGCGTGCCTTGGTTTGTACAACATTGTTTGATCATCAGTCGTGGTTTATGTAAGATTCACTTGGATAAGTGATCTGTATGTCTGTAACCCTGATTCATAGAGACTTTGGAAGAAGTGTTTTGCTTTCGTTTTGTTCAAATTGAGTTGCCGTAAGAAAGATTTGTTTTCGGCTTCGAGGGGAGGAGCTGCC